CAATGACTTATTTAAATAGAATGTGCGACAGGACGCAGCCCTGTCAAACACCAGACCCAATAGATAACGATTCTGAGAGGTTCTTATGGACCAAAACCCGCGGAGTGGTGGAACGGAAGTGTGCCTTGATCATGGCGATGATTTTTGGTGATATACCCTCTAGCGCCATTATCCGCCACAGGGGTTCACGATGTACGGGATGGAAAGCAGCTGCAAAGTCAACAAAGCAGATGGCCGTTAGCTGCTGGTAGCCATGTCGGAATTCAAGGATCTGTCTCAGTGTGAATATCTGGTCCGCACGTCCACGCCCAGCGCGGAATCCGGCTTGGTTGGGCCGCGTCCTAGAGTCACGCACTGACTGAAATCGCCCGAGAAGAACAATAGCAAGGATCTTCGCAGCAAAACGATAAGATTTATGCCGTAGTAGTTATCGCATCTTGTTGTATCGCGCTTGTAGACAATTGCAAGGATGCCTGAGTCCCAGTCATCAAGAACGACTTCGCCCCTCCACGCTTGTCCAACCACCTCATGAAGCCAAGCAGCCAGAGTGTCGACATAAAACTTGCAGATTTCGGCGGGAATACCACCCTCTCCGCACGCCTTGTTTTTGCGCAGCTTCTACATTGCATTGGCAACTTCGTCTTCGGAGGGGAGGTCGCACGACACTACATAGGCTAGAGAGGGTTAAAACTCCACTGTGGAGGAGAGGGAGGGTGTGATGGGTTGCTCATCAAAGTTGAGGAGGCGCTCGAAGTCTTCTCGTCTACGATCGACCCTGGCCGATTTGTCAGCAACATAGCCGCCATTAGCATCACGAAATTTCACCGAATGTCGAGTGCTCTCCACTAACCTGGTGGATAATTTGATAGAGTTTTCGAGTGTCACCAACCTTTGAAGCCTGCTCCATGAAGGTCACTGTTTCGGACCAATACTTCTGTACACACCCGTTAGGGTTTTGTACTCAACATTAAATTGCAGATACGCAGGGTCACAGGCCTGACCACACGACGCGAACACTCAGACAACCGACCAAATCCATGCACCTTTACCGTGTCTTGCATTGAGAATTTTACTTTTTGCCTTTCGTCTTTTAGTTGGCGCATTTTTTTGCGTTCTAGCGGTGTAATCTATTGGGCTTTTCTACCTTGCATTACGTAGAATTTTTTTTATTATCTAGGCATTTTTATAATGCTGTCGGAGCTCCAGCAGTGTCTCACTTTGCTGAAACAGGCATTACACTGTCCGATATGGTACGTCTATACCTAACCGTTTACTTGCTGCAGTCTAGACGACTTAAAGTCGCCAGTGATTACGCCGTGCGCTCACATCTTTTGCAGTTTCTGTATAACGAAACATATCAGCTCAAAGCGCACAGTTAAGTGCCCTCTTTGCAATAAGCAAGTTACCAAACGGTTTGTACTTTTGGTCCTGTTTTGCTCCTAATATCCACTTTTTAAGAGCCTTGAAGGCCGCCGATAAGTTTAAAGAGATTGCTGCCGTTACTGAGGAAATCTTCATTAACTTCGCCAATGAGAGTTCGATGGCATGTATGCTCTTAGAAAATTTTGTTTTCTCACCTCAATGCCACCTTAGTTGTTCCCGTTGTGAAGATCGGTTCCTTACATTTGAGCCAAGAAATGAGTCAAGTTCCGGTAGGTTTCACCTCAGTTTAATTAATCCTCCTTATTTAGTCTGAAGTTGTCGAGCAGAAGACTGACAAACTGTTCAGACAACCACCCGCCCGACCTAGGCGCAATTCAACACTCCTAAAACGGAACGCACGTGGACCTACTCAGACTGGCAATCGACTCGTCGTTTCATTAGGCACTTCAGCACGTGTTCACAAACACAAACTTCTGATGAATAGTCGGCCCATTCCTGCGAAGATGGACGAGTTCATTGAGGCCACGCAGCCCATGTATGGCGAGGTGGAACCGACTGAAAATGATGTGGCCGCAACGCAACCAATGCAGCAAAATGAGGTTGATTTGTTCGCATTTACACAATCTTCCCCAAAGGCTGCTAATGAGGATACAATCACGGAATTCCCCGTCCCATCCCCTACCAGATCTCCAAGGGAGGACTCTTCAAGGGAGACTGTAGGTCAAGTTGCCCGGCCTCGTTGCGGTGCGGCCATGCAAAGGATAAATTCCGAAGTCATATCCCTCCCGTCAACTACAACATTTGCTTTGCGAAAAAATGGAAACAGTTCCAGGAACTTCGCTTCACGGCACAGTGACACCGCGGAGAAAATGCGCCCGCTTACCAAGCGGGGCTCAAAACTTTCATTATCCTCGCTGGGTTCAATTAAACGAAAGTCCTTTCTTCGAGGCTGGCCTTCTCGTAAGCGAAGGAGCACGCCAGACTCATCAGAATCGTCCATTCCCCCTCTTCGGGAGCGCATTTTATCTCCATCGCCTGTCGCGCCTGAAGGTACTGTCAAGACAACTCCACGCAGGCGGCACCGAAAAACCAACGAATTCTACTCTCCTTGGCTAAAAAATCGTCTACACTTTTTGAAAAAGTACAAATTCAATGCATCCGGTCGCGTTTCCACATCGGATGCTAAGGACTCCCTGTCTTCAAGAGCATCCTTCTCAAAACAATTTAGTCCCGGTTGGTCCCGTATCCGCCATCTCAACTCAGACTTGAACAGACGGTCAAAAGCCCAACTATTGATTCGATCCACCAAGGAAAAGTTTGTAAGAGCAAGCATGGTTAGAAGGTTCGGTTCTGCATCCCGGTCCTGCCTCTCAAAGTCATCACCTAGACGCGACTCTGTGCAGGTCGTAGCCTCTGGCCCGGTTTGTCGCTTCTCTATCCCATTGAACCGGCTTAGGCCCGTCGAAATGCCATCCACAAGACCAGACACTTTTGTATATTGTGAATGTGGACGTGAAGTGCCGGCTGTTTCGGTGGTGGAAGCACCTATGAAAACCGTCGTAGAGAAGTGCACGCAAACCACTATTCCCAGCCCGCCGCCTGTTGTGCATGACAAAGCGGTCTATTGGCCAGGGCTCGCTGGTGTAGATAGTCAGGCAACTCCTTACTCGCAGGAGACCTCCATTCTCACTATTCAGCCTTCAGTAATTCCCCAGACTTGGAGCGTTAACACCATGTCTGCATATTCGTTGAAATCATCGGGGACAACGGAGCAGTCGGAACCAGCCGATGATAAGGTATTTAGGTTGCTTTTTTTCTTGCAGTTTTCGTACACTAGAGTTTGACATTATTCTTTATGTATTACGAGCTGCATTTATGTCAGTGCGTTGCATTTCCCTAAGGTAGTATCTTAGCGACTTGAGCCAGGATCCACCAGTCATATTATGCTCTATCGATATAATTTTAGTTCCGTTATAACTGGAGGTACTGACCCAAATGATGTTAAAAATCTCACTGTCACTCTGCTAAGTTTTTTAAATGTTTACACTTCTATTACCATCTTAACTGAAAATAGATAGAAACTCATCTGCACCCCCCCCGCCCTCACGCTTTTGTCTACATCGCCTAGTGACAATCCAGAAAAGTTCCCTTTGACCCAGTTGTAAAAGGCTTCGGATCCATAACAACAGCCAACGTTCTAGCTGCCTGAGCTACCCGACCCCACCGTGAGTCATGAGTTTAATCACACTTGTGTCAACCTACCCAAGGCCGCTGAGTTTTTCACAACTGGGTCAAAAGGAACTATTCAAACTATCCCCTATCAACTAATTGTGTCTAGTAGTCATCTAATAGATTCTGAATTGATTGCTTAGGATATCCTGCTTAGGCAGTCAACGTACTTCATCAAAATTGGTAGATTCCATAAATTGCAGTAGACTAGACGGGTAACTCGAGCCAAGTGTGATTAAACTCACAGATCCCAGTGGGACCTCGTAACTCAGATGGCTAGATTTTTGGGTATAATAAAGCCTTCCCCTTGATGTGGGGAGGGGGTTCGAACCTCACAGAGGCCGCCGAATTTATCACACGTGGATCAAAATAAATTATTTAAATCGGTCTAAATCTCTTAGTAATCGAGAAGAGGTTCCGGACCAGGTACTAAGGCAAATCTGAGAAAATTACAATGAAGTTTTCGCTCATCACCATAGGCTGAATTCGTTCTGTAACATATCCGAATTTGGAAAATCCTGGGTCCGACTTAGGCTACAAATTGTTGACATAATTTGTCCGGTTTATTCATATATGTTCCGGGGATCGATCAATACTGCTATAAGCTGCGATCGGTATAATCGTCACCGGTACCACAACAACATCCGTCTAAACGCCTAATCTACACACGGGATTACGGCAACAGTTGTTATTGCTCAGAGTCAAAGTTTAAAAAAAACGGAGTTAATATGCCATGTGTACATCCAGTTGGCATTCGGCTGCAGATTGCTGTTGTATCTGCGTTTCATAAATCAGCCCATGACTAATGCTTTAACTTTACCTCCCATCTTTACGCCTTTTATTCGTTTGATTTTCCGTTTGGGTAAGACTTTTTTGAGGCCTCCTAATGGCAAAATTTTCCCCGTCCAAGTTTCTTATGGAAATCGTGGTTAAAGGTTTAATGCCTGATTAAAGCGTAGGTAATGCGTAGTGAGTGCCCAGCAGGAAATAAATTAAAACCCTTGTAATTGTTTTACTGGGTTGAAATATATTTGAAAAGCATGCGGAAAGAACAGAATCGACCACAATAAACACATTGGTTAGCAAAGGCTCCCTATAGACCAATAACAATATTAGAAAAATTCCTATTAGTTAACATATTCAAAGGGGTGTTTAGTTAGGCGGAAATTACACCTACTGAAAATATGAAAGTAGTTTACTATTAATAATCACAGACAAAAGTGGCCTTACAAGAAAGCCCTAACTACGTTTGAAAATGAAGACAATAATGCAGCAATTTACTCTGAACCCACAGTATCGTTTGTCCTTTTTCAGAGCCCGGAGCAGAGTGAACCGCCTCCGAGTGCACAGGATGTTGCTGAACCCCGAAAGACGTCGCAGGTACACACAGTAGCCGAACCACTCAGTTTATCGCTGGACTCCAGGCCCCCCACGCAGACCGCCACCGCCGTATGCTCTCACAGCCCCTCTCGCTCTCCCCAA